TATATATATATATATATATATATATATATATATATATATATATATATATCACTGAAATATATACTACCTGGACACGCGCTACCTTTTGAGTGTGCGGGATGAGAGAGAGCATACTTGTAGGTCTAAAACAGCGCTCTGTCTTTGTCTAGTACAGTCTGAACCAAAAGCTAAGTCGACTGATTTCTAAACATAAGCTGAATCTCCGAATTAGAATCCATTTTTGCTTTGTTTTTCTTAATAATAAGTCGCTAAGTAAATACTAATAAATGAGAAAAAATATATATATTTTTTTATATTTTAAACTTTCGTTCATAAATTTAAGTCATTGCCATTCAATGGTCTCTGCTTTTCATATTATCTCTAACTTTTAACTTGGATTGTATCACATTCTTCCCACTCTCGACTATACTATGAACCAGACAAGGATAAGAGAGGAAACAAGGAACCTCTCTCTCATCCCGCACACCTTAAGAGACAGCGCGCGTTCCAGGTAGTATATATTTCTGTTATATATATATATATATATATATATATATATATATATATATATATATAACCTTTTGCATTAGTTCAGCAGTGCAGTTACAAAGAACAGGGCCTATATTCTTGAAATTTTTGCGTATATGTAATTTTCATTTAGCAGCTAATTTATGATATGATTAAACCTGCGCAATAAAAGTTACGTATACGCAACTATTTTAAGAATAAGGGTCCAGGGCCCCTATTTTTGAAATAATTGCGTATACGTAACTTTTACTACGCAGGTTTAATCGTAAAATAGCTGCGCAATGAAAATTATGTATACGCAAAAATTTCAAGAATATGGGCTCAGATCTTTAAATTATATCATGTAGAGATTTTCCTTAATACCAACATTATCCCCTTCACTTTTCGGGAAATTGTCGCCTAACCAATTAATTGCGAAAGATTAAGGAAAAACGCGCGCTGAATGATCGGAGGAAGAGCGCTCGAGCCACAGCATGGACCTAAGCTATCTAATAATTAAATCATGTGTCTGTCTCTGTCTAATTTAAAAAGAAAACGAAGATAGATATATGATTTGTTAAGTTTACCAAGAGTTTGGAACTGCAGCCTTTAATAATTAATGCATTTATTCGTTAAAAATATTGAACATAAATAAGTATAAAATATTATTATTCAAAATATTAATTATATTGTTTTTATAAAATATATGTATAAAGTATAAAATATAAGAGTACAAAGTATATTAAATACTTCATAATATTAAAATAATATGAAAGAATAATACTAAATCTATAAAATAATAAAATGTGTATAAACATATATAATTTTTTTTTATTTTTTTATGAAAGGAAGTTGGAGAGATTTATATAATGGTAATAATCAACAAAAATATATTCTATTGAAATATTATCTTTTATTATATATACATATACTATTTTGTAACCATCAGTAAATCAATTTTAATTAGATGGTCAAAGCTTTTATATTCCCAGATAGTAAGAAACATGAGATCATCTTGATTGTATTCAAATGATATCCTAGAATATTTTTCAGGATATCTTAGATACATTCTAGATGATTTTAGAACATTTTATGTTGCCTGGGTATACAATTAATTGTTTAATTTAATACACAATTGTGTCTATAATCATATCATTCTGACATTAGGGAGAGAATTACCACAGCACAATTTTGGAAGTATTGGAATATATAAAGTAGTATATAATATAAACATCAACACAACAATCAGGCACCATATCGTCAACTTATCAGTATTTGATACCACTAACAAGATTAAGCTTTGTATTCATCGCATAAGTAAAAAATAGATATGGATAAGAGACGTAAAAAAGTTATCATTATTTGTATAGTTTCCATGTAATCATACATTCTCATACAACCATAATGTACAGATCTTTTACACGCAAATTCAGATTATGGAAAGTTACAATAATAATTTATATCTTCAAATCTGTTTCATAATATACACTTATATATTAAATTATCAATTTTATCATTATATCAGGAATGCATATGTATATTGCAAAATATATACTTCTTTTTTGAAACGCATATTCAGTTAACAAAAAGGAAAAAAATATTTTTAACGCACGATAGATCAATAAAAGTACATAAATCAGTAATTTTTAAATATTACCATCAACTTGATCAATGGTAATAATAATGATAAATCTCTAACAGAATCGTTAAGAATTTTTTATGAAATTTTGTGCTACTATATATATATATATATATATATATATATATATATATATATACTATATATATATACTATATATATATATAT